TAGTAGGCCATAGTTTACAGAAAGTCAGTCTGTTAGTTTGTTCCCTTTGCTAACCATAGTAGGCCATAGTTTACAGAAAGTCAGTCTGTTTGTTTATTCCCTTTGCTAGCCATAGTAGGCCATGGTTTACAGAAAACCAGTCTGTTTGTTTGTTCCTTTTGCTAGCCATAGTAGGCCATAGTTTACAGAAGTCAGTCTGTTTGTTTGTTCCCTTTGCTAACCGTAGTAGGCCATAGTTTACAGAAAGTCAGTCTGTTTGTTTATTCCCTTTGCTAGCCATAGTAGGCCATGGTTTACAGAAAACCAGTCTGTTTGTTTGTTCCTTTTGCTAGCCATAGTAGGCCATAGTTTACAGAAAGTCAGTCTGGTTTTTTTTTCCCTTTGCTAACCATAGTAGGCCATAGTTTACAGAAGTCAATCTGTTTATTTGTTCCCTTTGCTAGCCATAGTAGGCCATAGTTTTTTGAAGTCAGTCTGTTTATTTGTTCCCTTTGCTAACCATAGTAGGCCATAGTTTACAGGAGTCAGTCTGTTTATTTGTTCCCTTTGCTAACCATAGTAGGCCATAGTTTACAGAAGTCAGTCTGTTTATTTGTTCCCTTTGCTAACCATAGTAGGCCATAGTTTACAGGAGTCAGTCTGTTTATTTGTTCCCTTTGCTAGCCATAGTAGGCCATAGTTTACAGAAGTCAGTCTGTTTATTTGTTCCCTTTGCTAGCAGCAATAAGACATAGTTTACAGAAGTCAGTCTGTTTATTTGTTCCCTTTGCTAGCAATAGTAGGCCATAGTTTACAGAAAATCAGTCTGTTTGTCTCTCTGAATATTTCTCCGTCACTATTCTACAAATAGCAGTTGACAGAAAATGTTTTAAAAAATTGGTGTGCACGAAATCAAAACATCCACAAATTACAAGTTTTCCTCAATCCGTGGAAAAAAATCAATTCACAGTTCTAAGGTGTTAAAAGAAATTGATGTGCACTGAGTTCATATAATTTACACCTTTAAAATTATTCCTCATTCTTTTTTTGACAGGTGCGGCTGGTTTTTATATTAGTGTTCAGAAAAAACAATGAATATAAAGAAATCTGTAATCTGCATATATTTTTTGTCTTCCACTTAAAAAACAAAGAATTAAAAGAGTAAATGGCCTTAGTTTTATTATTTTCTTCATGTTTCTTCAAAATATGGAAACTATACCTATCATCAAAATTTAGAATTTCTTTGGGGAAAATCAACAAATTTCTTGCAAGTTATTGAATCATTTTACAATGTTATAAATAAATTAACAGTTGTTTACTGACATAAAAGTGTACAAATCCATGAAAACCAAAATGGAAAAATAAACATTTCCTGTTTGTGTACTCTCCATAATATTAACCTATAAAAGACCATTTTGTCTTTGTAATAAAAGTGTTGTCCTAGGTATTTGAGACATGTTATTATGTGTTTGTATGTTAGGGATTATGCAATCTTTGATTAAACTTTTTATCTAAATAACCCCTTTTATAACTTTAAAGTGAATTTACAATTATTAGTCATTTTTGGACCTGTCCATTATAGTACCTTGAGGGATATAGGTACAGGCTATGATCTTTAATTTTTTTCACATTAAAATGGTTTTGATGGTATTTTTGAAAAGAAGGTTAGGCATTTTGTTTTTCTTATTTTCTTATAATTCCTTGACATTAAATTATTGTTAATGAAAATGTTTTTGAAAAGTCTTTTAAAAAAGATGCAAAGATGCTAATTACAATAATTTTAGTTTCCTCAAAAATAGATATTGTTTATTTGTTATATGGAATAGAAAAAGCTGATGTTTCATAAACAAAAAAGTATGAAAGGTATATTTAACTCATAAGTCGAAAACAAACTGACAATCCCATGGCAGAAAAGAATGAAAAATAATGAAAAGACAAACAACAGTACACAAAACACAACATTGATATCTAAAGACTGAGCATTCGATAATGGTCAACCAACTTTTGTAGTGTCCGTATTTATAGATTATTGTTGGTTATCTCAACGAGATTGATTTTCCCGCTTGAGCCGGTACGGCAAAAGTGAGAAAAGCAATCGAGTTGAGATGACCAATGATAATCTGTTTATTGCTATTTTACCTATGAAGACATTGTTAATTTCCTTGACAACGGCATGTGTTCCCTTAGTTTCTAGCGATAATTTTCATATCACTCGACTCCGTTTTCATATCACTCGACTCCGCTGAGAACGGAAATTATCAGTCAGCAAGATCAAAGGAAAAATTTGTAAAAAAGCGATAAAAACTGTACTTTGCACTTTTTAATCTTACTATTATCTTTTTTTTTGCCCTAACAAATATTATTTACCGAAATTCTATTGGAAGTACCTTTAACTACTGTCAACAATCTAGAGTTTTTCAAGGGATTTATTTTTCGTGTCTTTCCTGACTGATGAAATAATGCAGCCCTAGTTACATGAATGCCAAATTATTTTTCGACTGAAGGATGGTTGAACTTAAATAATCAGATTCAGATTTAAAATGGCAACCACTGATAAATGATATAACATTCCAAATGTTGAGTTGAAATACTGTTAACCAACTAATTTTTGTGAACGATTTCTTTTTATGACTTATGCACATAGGGGAATAATGCAAATATAAATTGTCACAAATATGTCAAACTAGGATTCTCTCTTATATAAGTAAATAACAAAGTTAGAAAATCACTTAAAGAAATCGTCTCAAAGTCAGCTAGAAAGGGCTATATGGGAACAAAAGTATCCACGAAAAATAAGTTGGTTACATTATGCAGAGATGTAACTGGCGAACAGTTTTACATGGAACCTATAAAAGATTCATGCAAGCTGATTCCTTCAGGCCATCCTTAATTTCTTTGTATGATGTTGCCTACCCATGCCTTTTAGGGTTTGGTATGTAGGTAGAGATTTTTCTTTTTTCTTTTTTTTTTGGCCAACAACACAAGTTCCTTGTTTTAGACAAGAAAATGATGTAAAAGCAGGAAAAAATCTTTTAAAAAAAGATTGTACCGATTTGTGTCATAAAATTTTTTGGGTAGCCTGCTTTTTAGGTAGGGAGGTAGGCAACATAAAACATTCTAAATTTTGTTTTTGGCCTCAGGCATGTTGAATAAAAATAAATTGCAGGGATAATTAAATGATGGTCCTAGTATATCTTATAACTGTGATCCCAATCTTAAATTTAAGATGACTAGTATACAAGAGAACTGGTTTCACTAGAACCTTTTTGTGTGGATCTATAACTTTTGGGTCCATTCAACTTGCCCTGATTAGTTAAGCAAATTCAAACATTTTTTTTGATGTTACATGAAACCTTTGTTAGAAATCATTTGGTTGCATTTTGTCCCAATTTTAATTCATTTATGTTGCCTTGATGTTTTGTATATTTTATTAGTTGTCAGTCATATTTTGACAGGTCTTGGAAGTTTGTTATTTAAATGGAAGTTTGTTATTTAAACTTGCATGAGAACAGTAAAGAAAAAGTCAAATGTAAGCTCTGGATGCTACAATTTAAAAAAAATGTTTTAATTTGATCATAAATACAAATTTAGGAGCAATATTATAACACCCATATAATTCTCTTACTAAGAAGTATATTTATCTGAACTAACAAATGTCACATCAGTTAACCGTTGAAATTGTAAAATTGTTTCTGAATTTAACAGTATAGTTTAATTCATCAAGGGAGATAACTTTACTTGTTGCTCAGACTAGTTTACTTTAAATGCAAGTCTACTTTAATTAAAAAGCATTTTAACATTAATTCTTTATGAATAAAATGAGATTTAAGGTAAAATATAATTGAGACATCAACCCAATGACACAAATAACTAAAAGTCATCATTCGTAACTTTGTATTTTCACCTAAACAGTTTCGCTCCAACCTTAGATATAATTATATAAGTTATATCAGAATCAATTACTTTTGTAATAATTGAGAAAGTGCTGATCGGTAGTCTTTTTTTTTGGTCCAAATTATGAATTAGATTAATCTATTATACTCTATTACAAAATCTCCATTGAAATTAAGAAATGGCGAAGAACGTAGTCAGTTTTGTTGCATATAATGTTATTTGAAGGAAACATTGATAAAATGTTATTAAAAAATTGAAATATATTTTTTGATTACAGAGTTTTAGTTAATTAATGAAGAAATTAAAAAAGTAAATTTTTAAGAAGAAAAATAACTACAGATTAAAACTGTTGTTTGTAAAAGTCTAAAATCAAATATAGGTTACAAAAATTCGTTTTTTTCAACAGTAAGGATTTGTATATCTTAGAATTCTGTTTTCCTTGGCAACAACTTTGAAATTTTTGAGAGAGATAGCTCTGAATGATTTTATTTTTTTTACCGTCAACACTTTTTTCAATATATAATAAAGATGTGATGGGTCTAGTATAAATTTTTCAGTTGTTCTGTCACTTTACATTAGTGTTTTCCTATTTAAGCTATGCTATTCATCTGGACTTCTAATTCTAGAATTGATCAATGGCTATTTCCTAAATCTATAGTAAAAATATAAATTATTTATGATTATAGCAAAATGTTTTAAAAGCAAAAATTGATAAAAAAGAAAAGAAGATTATTGAATAACAATCAATTTTATTATAACTTTTACTATAAAAAATCAATTTCAATAATCTCCAGCATCAGCATCCACATCTTGTGTCAATCAAGCATTGGCTGCAGTATGATTTGACAATACATTTCCCATGTAAATTTCACAATCATTGATTCATTAATTAGAAAAGTTTTACCTCCTCCACCCCCTCTGGCTATTGGTTAAATGGACCTGTCCATAGTATTATGTAATAGTGTATGGTCAGTTAATTTTTCATTCCAGGGTAGAAAAGCTTTTGTCCATTGATGTTGTTTACATATCTTTATTTAGGACCTGAAAATAAACATTGGCTTAGGATTCCACTTCAGTTTTATTACATGTGTAAAAAATGGGAATGCCTGGTCAGTTTGTTGTGACATTGTAGTTTGACCAGTGGTCAGTTGAAAAACAATTTGTTTTTATGACAGTATAGGAAAGAAGCAATTAGGACAATTTGTGTGGATGAAAAGTATTTTGCAATGATGGAGGTTGAATCTACTGGTCAAGTTTTTAACCTACAAACCAATGGTACGCATTTAGTTTTTTAGAAGTTTGTTGTCTCTTTAATTAATAGTCAATCCTATAGCTTTTTGTTTGCATGTTGATTTTTACATGAATGAAACCTTTTGTGGTGATAATTTGTTTCATCAGAGGTTGAGAAAATGTTTGGTTCTTAAAAACTTTTTTTAAATTTATCATTTTACCTTTGAAATTATGTAATTTAGTTGTTTTATTTTTTGTTTACTTTCTTTTGCTATTTTCAACTGAAAACCAAGTCTTTTTTATTTCAATTAAATGTAAATAAAAAAATTATAATATCTTGTTTTTCTGTTTCTCATAAATTTGAAATAGTTTTCTCTCTTTAATTAATTGGTGTTTTTTTTTTAATTTAGTAATTAAGACAAAAGTACTTTATTTTTTATTTTTATTTTTTTTTATATTTAATTTATAAATGGTTCTTCTCGCTTTACTTAGTATTCTTTTTACTTTTAGCAACAGCATATTATATATATGTATGATGTAATTGTGAAAAAGCATGGTTTTCATGAGTATAAAAATCCTTGACAATACCAAGGGACAGAGTGAAACTGTTAATTAATAACAAGGATTTGTATAGTACAAATCCTTGTTAATAATAAATAAAAAGAATTTTAATTTACATGTGTAAAAGAACCAAAAACATGTGTTGCTATTATTTTTTTTTTAATTAAATACAAAAATTACATTATATTTTAATGAAAAAATGGTGTTGATTTCAGCTATAGATACATTTTATTAAAAATTCTCAATTAGTTGTCATACATGTCAATTTTTATATTTCTGTAACAAAAATAATTCATCTAAAACATATTTTTTAATTTTAAAAAAGTCATGAATGTAAACATATTTATATGATTGAAGGAAAAACACACCCAGGCCAATTGGCATTAAAAACGAGCAACACATTAACAGTTATACTGCTCAGTGGATATCTATAACTGACCATTGTCCACCCATTGTCCAGACTAAATACTACACCCTGTGTTGACCACCTCTTTATAAAATTTGTTTGAATCAGTCAATGCTTGTATTGTTAGACTTAACTGGATCAAATGGCTTGTTTTGATTGTATCAGGATAATTTTGACACTTCAGTTCCTCAATGTTGACACTGTTAAATTTGTGTTTGAACATTTTTTGTTATATGGTAGACCTCTAAGAAAATTGAAAAGATTTTATTGACACAAGGGAAAAAAAAAGATTTTTTTGTTGGTTGTAATATGTAATAGTTTTTTAAAAATCTTGATCCTTTGGTAAAAGTATTGTTTAAAGTTTGTCTGTTTGATTTTACATCACAGTTTTTAAAGTGTCAATTTACACATAAGTTTGTTAAATGATTTTGTGGCAGGATAGCTTAGAAATTGAAAATCAATATGTTATTTCACTTTAAAGTCATGAAAGTATAACTATCCTCCAAAAAATAATTTGTTAAAAATATATTTTTAAATATGATTTTTAATAAGTTGAAGACCAACCAGAATTTCAAAATTTTCTATTTTTCTGAAAACAGAGACTGCTGACAAAATCAATTTCCATGTCAAAAAGTCAAAAGACAGATTATGTTCATCCATTTATTAATTAGTAAAGATAAGTCCATCACTGATGGATCATAGAGTAACAACATTAAGGGGAGGGGTAAAAAACTTTGATTTCTCATGAGGGTCTCAAATGGTTATAAATACATGTAGTTTGCTTTGCTTTGAACAAACAGTGTCTAACCTGCCTTGAAAACTGAAGAAGGCTTGAATGATAATTCAATCTTTCCAGGCCTGGAAATACCCTTAATAATGGCCAAAACCCTGGCATTTTTATATTGCTAAAAGAGTGGTATTTATTGGGACAGGAACTACACAATAAAAACAAAATGCTTGAAAAAAAGAATAGTGTCTATACGATATATAAATTGAGGTTTGACAAAAGATAACCAATGACCAAGTTATATGATTTTGGACTGAAACTTAAATTAAAACATGTGGCAGGGATGAACTAAATTCTTATATATATATATATATAGGAGCCACTAAAACTTTTAATTAAGTAAAATTTTCAAGGATTGAAGGAAGCCACTTGAATGTCGTTGAAACCTCTTAAAACACCCACAATTTAACAATATCCAGGGGTTACTTTGTACTATTTTATACAGGAAATGTTGTCCATACTTAAAAATTTTAGCAAATAACTAAACGAAGATATTTTCCCTGATAAAATTCATCCCTTTCAGAATGATGACCACAGGAAGAAAAGTTTATTTTGATATGAAGATTCTACCACTTCATCCAATTTGATACAATTTATTTCTTCTTTAATTTTTAGAAGTTAAAAAGCGAGGCTTACCGAGCATTTGAGATATTTTAATTTTACTGTTGTCAGGAGAGAATTTTCTTATCTTATGAGATATGGTGATCAGATCTCTTTCTTTTTTTAAGACTGTATTTGAGCAAACTGTACCATTTTTTTTTTTAATCAACTGCTTAAAGATTCTGTACTTAAATTTTCTGGACTAAAGGTCATTCATTATTGGGACATCTGAAAATTGCTTTGATTGGAGGGATGAGTGCATTTTCCAGCCAGCTACATTTACAGTTGTTTTAATGCCCCCGCCGTCCGTCTGTAAGTACATATGTCCCAAAGTTGGTTTCCGTTCTCTAACTTTAGTTTGCCTCAACCAAATGTTATGAAACTTATACACAATGCTTATTACCACAAAATACAAATCAAGTTTGAATTTTGGTGGAGTCACTTTAACCGTTCTAGAGTTATGCCCCTTTACAAATGGAAAAATCCTGAATTTTTTGTTTCCGTTCTCTAACTTAAGTTTGCCTCAACCAAATGTTATGTAACTTATACACAATGCTTATTGCCTCAAAACTCAGATCAAGTACAAATTTGGGTAGTGTCACTTTTACCCTTCGTCAGTTATGTCCCTTTATAACTTTATATGATATGCAAGTGGGGGCATCATCTGTTTCCCATGGACACATTCCTCATTTATTTATTTTTCTTTGACATTTATATATTAAAAATTCAATGAAGGTGTGGATCATGTGAAGAGTGCAGTCCTCTGTTCGGTCTCACACATATATCTTATAATTTTGCATTCCCAGCTTTTCAGTGCTTTGACATTTTTTTCCAATTTTCTCTGAGCTCATGAAAACTGTGTGGCTTTTTATTAATCAGAATTCATGTTCTTCAAATTTAAAAGTTAATTCAAACTTAATTACACATGGTGTGTGATGAAGTTCCTTGCGTATATTTATTCCTGTGAAAAGTAAGTTTGATATTGTCACTCCTGTCAATTGGTGTGAAAGACTGATTTATAGTTTCCAGACTGGTCTAAAGTTTCCAGACTGCTTAAAAAGGTCTTACAATCCTGTGGTTTTTTTTCTGTTCAAATTATCATTAATTAAAACAAATGAAAGTGTTTTTATATACAAAACCTGATAATCCCCAAAAAAATGTCATTAAAAAAAAGAAAAAAATAAGGGTCGACTTGGATGGTACATGATGTAGAACTTTAATAGTTTCTGATAAATTTATTCACAATAGAATCTCATCCTGAACATGCATGAAATATTGGTCACTGGACATTAAGCAACAAACAATCAATCACAATAGAATCCAGCCTCTGGATGAGTGAAAGCATATATATATATATATCTCTGAAAATCAATGTTGAACTCAATATGCCTTTCTAAATTGTGTTGAAAGGTTGCAGTCTCTGTAGACACATTTCTCTACTTCCCTTATGTTCATCAGGGATACATCCTCTCTCTCTTTAAGTAGACTTCTATTCATTTTTACCTCTTTTAAAAAAAGAACATTACAACACAGTTATATAACATCTAAAGAAAGCAATCTATTCATATCTACATGAACTATTTTGACAGGTATATTAGTATATGATCACTATCTGTTTTTCACAGTTATGTTTTTATTGTTAGGCAATACATGTATGTTGATAAAATCTTCTTTACCAGATTTTTGTTGATAAGAAAGTTGAGAATTTGAATGAAGATGTAATAAGATTATCATGTCATTGTTGGTACAGTAACAAGTACTTGGATCAGATAATTACGTAATATGCTTCAAGTAGAGATGACTTAATTTATACTGTAATAAAAAACGCAGACTGAAATTAGAAAAAATTAAATGACCTTTGGAAGCTCAAACATCTATATACATGTACAGTACTGTTTTACACTTGTGCATTTAATCCTTTCCTCCATGGATTTTTTTTTTTACATACTTGATTCCCATAGGATTTTTCAATAAAATACTGAAAATATGCTTACTTTAATGAAATATTAACTGTACCTTACATAGACAGTTAGGTATGTATACCTCTTCACAATGCTGGTCTTCTAAAGTTCTTTCTGAAGACTGTTCTGCATACAATGATAAGATGTGGTAAAAGTCAACTTGAAAAAACAGCAACATAGTAACATGACATGTTCTTGCATCAAAGTTTAGGACATTTTAATATCCCTCTTGGTTCTCTACTGAAAAGTCATCATTAGATGTACTGATCAGTTGGTTGCTTAATTTTACTGACTCGAGTGAGATTTCAAATAAAGTTTCAAAGTTTTTTGAAAGGTCATATTGGAACAAAAGTACATAAAAAGGAACTATTCTGTATCACAAAATTTTCCAGTATTGACCAACAGGTATATTGCCTGAATAAAAATTCTAATAGTAAGATACAAGTTGACCAACATTTCACCTTTGTAAATTACCAAAACTGTCCATCATAAAAAATTGTCCAAAACACTAGGAAGTCTTGACCAGGGCTGAAGGCAAAAATAATTTGGACAGTTTTTGTGATGTATTGGTAAATCGAGAAACATTTTTAGGGAAGAAAAACTAATTCCTTGTTAAGACTGAGTTTGGCATCTACATTTTACAAGGAGATGTTGGTTGGTTTGTCTTTTCTTAGAGGTAAGTCGTTAACTGGATAAGACAGGAAACATTTGGCAAGTTGATTAGCAATGG